TGTGTGCTGGACCTGCTCACCTTGCCCCTGTAATCTGAATACTCAGACTTTGGGCTCATGTAATTTCATATAGACAAAAACTGTAAACAACCTAAATATCTGACTGGATCCTACATTCAGAACCAAGAGGCCCAGTTCACCAGCAGCCTCTCACGTTTGCTGTAATAAATAAGAGTAAAGGTAATACAGAAATAGAGAAAATTTGGTGGTATGTTTTTTATTCATTTTACCCAGGGTGTCATGACACTGGGTAGTGTATAGCCAGAGCCCATTGAGTTAATGTCCAGCGTTTAGTCACTCCCCTGATTGTCAGGCACAGAGTCAGGAGGGGCCCAAGGGTCAGCTGCTTCTGTGTCTTTAAGACAGCACATCTCTCACAGTTTGGCACATGATTTTCATGACGCAGAGCTGGCTCCCTCTAGATTGCTCTGTAGGAACCTCAGAAGTCTTTCTGCTAACCCCCTCCCTGGGAGAGACCAGCTCTGCTCATTCCCCTTCCTCTGCGGTGGCTTGACGTTCTGTCATTAGCCGAGGGCCCTCGCCTGCTCCATACCGAGGCTTGTGATGGCATCCTTGTCGCGGTCGCTGCCGTCACATACCTGTCTGGAAGTACTAAACAGACAATACCCAGCCGTACATTCTAATTGCAGTTGAACCACTTAAAAATGATTGCACACAGGAACTGCATGAATTCCTTGACACTTTTTCCTAAAACTTTTTGGATGAAAAGTGTCAGTTTCTATTTTATGAGATTCTTTAGATGTATGGCCAAAAAGATTTACATTTTTCTTTTCTCAGTTTACTTTTGTCATCAGAAAAGTTATAAGATATCCTTACTTTAGAAAAAATAAAGACAGGACCAGGCAGGCCAGAAGCTGGGGAAGAGACCCCGTCTCAGCCGGCTGCCGGAATCCAGCCTGCATCAGCCTCATCTGACACAGTGTGGGGTTGCTCAGTCCCGATGGCTCCTGGGAAATGCGTAAGCAGTGAGTGCACAGGTCCTTCCTGTCAGTTTAAGCAAAACCAACTTTTCCCCAAAGCTGTTGAGGAGCTCTTGAGATGTGTGTGAGGCTGATTTTAGGCCAAGACTTGAGTTCTCAGAAAAATAAACATTTGACAGGAGCCAGAACTCAAGTACATTTTATCAGCTAATAAATGGGCATGTTCTTGGCAAGCCCACAGTGGGTAATTTGATTTTTATAAGGAGCTTTGGGTTTCCTCTTTTTGGATGCTTTGCCTCCTAAAATAGCCATAAAATATTCCTTAAAATCTCATTCCCACCAGTTTGAGTCCTGACTACTGTATGTCTCTAACAACCGAAGACACTGTCCTCATTCGAGACTGCGTTGCTGGCATGGTTTCCCATTCCAGCTCAATTAGATGCTGAATTTCCTCAAGTGGGGCATCTGATGATCCTTCTGAACAGACTGTTTATGCTGAATGAGGCCCTTCAGAGAGCTGGGCCTCCCTACCTCTGCTGCTCTTTGCTGGTGTGCTCAGCTCAGTTTTTGACTGAATGTGTGAATTTTATCCTCCCAGCAGACAACACTGCAACTAACCTCTTGCTGCTCTCAAACTGTCCCACTGCCTGCAAAAGCAAAGGGCTAAAGGGAAGGCCTGGCACATGGCACAACATGAGGAAACAACAGCCCCGAACCAATGCCCCCTAAGAGGGTCAGCATCTGTCTGTTGGTCCCTTTGCTCCCTGGACAGACAGCTGAACGTTTGGAATTGGCACAGTTTCAAAGAGTGGCATCTTGCCAATGTAAGACCCCGTGTTGTTAGGGCTTCTCCTTAAGACCAAATGGTGGGAATGGAAACTTTGAAAATTGACTTACCTTTAAGGTACATTTTGGAATTAGGTTAAGTTTGGATTTGACTAACAGGGATCCAAAGAAACTGAGGCTCTGAAAGCAACAAAAGAACAAACAAAAGCTCATAGACACACACAGCAGTGTGGTGGCAACCAGAGGAGGGGATGGGGGCCGGGGAGGGGGTTAAATTATGGTGACGGAAGATTTGACTTCAGCTGGTGGGTACACAGTGTAATATACAGATAATGTATCCGAATTGTACACTTGAAACCTATATAATTTTATTAGCCAGTATCACCCCAATAAATTTAATTTTAAAAAACTGAGGTTGAAACCAGATAGGAATTTATTTATTTCTAATTTAATAACAATATTACAAGCTAACATTTACATAATGCTTATTTTGTGCCAGGTACTATTAGCATTTTTATACATGAACTTACTTAATCCGTATAATATCCTCTGACACTGGTAGGAAAGACCACCTTAACAGATAAGGAAGTAAGGCTCAGAAGGTAAAGTCATTTGCCCAGAGTCACAGAGACAGTGAGTGCGAGAGTCGGGGTTCGAGCTGTGCAGTCTGGCTCCAGAGTCCATGCTCAGAATCAGCGTGCTACTCTGCCTCACAAAAGCCAAGGGTCACCAGGACTGATAGGGTGTTGTGTCCCCGTTGTTGTCAGGGGCCCAGGCCTTTCTTCCTTGTCACTCTGCTACGTGTGACATGTCCGGCACGGTGCTCTGCCAGTGTAGGACGCCCACTCGTGGCGAGAAAGACCTTTACATGCGTGAGCAGTGGCAGTGGTCTGCCCTGAGCCCGCCTGTGGCTTTCACTGTGTCTGACAGCGCTCTCATGCAGAGGGCGGTCTGGGACGGTGAGCGTGAGCGTGAGCGCTGTGCCTTCTGCGCTGCCGTGAGCCTGTCCTGGAGAGTCCAGCCCAGCTCTCTCTGTGGAAGGAACAGTTTCCGGGGAGTGTCTGTGGCAGTGGCGGTTGGAGGCACCTGGATACCTGTCCAGGGGATGGACATGTAAAGTGGGAGGCACACGTGGGCAGTGAAGCAGAGTGCGTGCAGCCACACGCCAGGCCTTAGGGGTGAAACACAGCAGAGCGGGCAGGAGATTCTGAGCTGGTCTCAGAGCCCAGGACCACCTAACTAAATCAATAATGTATACATGGCCACTCCCCAAAATACTACAGAGTAAGTGTTAAGTTAGGGGAAATCTTTTCTTGGAAGGTTTTTTTTTTCTTAATATGATTTCTCAAATGGACCTTTATATATTATCTGAAATCTTCCTTTCTGCAAGCTTTCTTTATTCCTTATTTTTTTTATGATAAAAGGCAGGTGTAATCAATTGTTAGGTCTTTTTTTTTTCCCTAAAATAGTATCCATAATAATAAAAGTGTAATATGCTAATTAGACCGGACATCCTTCTGGATGAAGCCGGGACTGAGAGGGAAGCCTGGGTCCTGGGTGTCAGAGGGAAGCTGGTGCCGGCAGCCAGGGAGGGAAAGCCTACTCTTGTACAAATTTCATGCATTGGGCCTTAATATATATGTATTTTTCCTGACTATAAAAATTATGCTTATTATAGAAATCTGAAAAGTCCAATACAGCTTAATGAAACTAAAAATTCTTTATTCCTCCCACCTAGGGAACATATCCTGTAAACTTTGTGACGTATTTTGTCTTTCCACTGTGCTTTGTTAGCACATGTAAATATTATATTTACAGTAAATGGTTGAGAGTATTCCATACATAATGCTGTACCTTGCTTTTTTTCCTAACACAGTGACACACTTTTCCAAGTTATTACCAATTCATATTAAGCTGCATCTAAAACTATATCATGCCTACGGTGTGCCAGGCCCTGTTGTTAGCATTTTATATGTATTAACCTATCTTTACATGTGTCTGCACTTCAAGTTGGACTTCTAGGTTGTTTCCAGAGTCATAGCTTTTCTGATAAGACACCTCCCCTCCCCAAAGGGTTTCTACAGTCTTTAAAGTCCATTTAAAAATGCTGTTTATAGCCCAGCTGGTTCGCTCAGTGGTTGAGAGTTGACCCATGAACCAGGAAGTCACAGTTCGATTCCCTGCTACAGCACACGCCTGGGTTGCAAGCTCCATCCCCAGTAGGAGGCGTGCAGGAGGCACCCGATCAATGATTATCTCTCATCATTGATGTTTCTGTCTCTCTCCCCCTCTCCCTTTCTCTCTGAAATCAATAAAAGCTTATATATTTTTTAATGCTGTTTATACAGGAGCAGAATCTGAGAGTTGTTACATGCTATCTTGAGGAGGTTCAGTCGTAGGTCTGGGTAATAATTCTCGTAAGTGGAAGGGCTGGGTTCTGAGTAGTGTTGTCAGATGCCTGTGTCTCTGCAGTTCCAGGGCTGCAGTGAATGTCCTACTTTCAGACAGGGCTTGTGGGCCTGAGGAGAGAAGCCATCTTTGGCATAGAACTCAGGGCCTCTTTCCCTTCCTTCCTCTCTAAAAACAATAAAAAGATATTTAAAAACAAAAACAAAAAACAATATAAAAACTAAAGCCCAGCTGGCATGGCTCAGTGGTTTAGCATCAGCCTATGTACCAGGAGCTCATGGTTTGATTCCCGGTCAGGGCACATGCCCGGGTTGTGGGATTCGTCCCCAGTAGGGGGCATGCAGGAGGTACCCGATCAATGATTATCTTTCATCATTGATGTTTCTATCTCTTTCTTTCTCTTCTCCTTTCTCTCAGAAATCAATTAAAAATATATATTTTTTTAATTTATTTAAAAATAAATAAATAAAACTAGACTATAGGGCTATCTGATCCCAGCTGCTCTCACTACATATGGGTGAACCAGACCGCTCACTGAATTCTGAAATCAAGTAATTTTTCTAGATTATGTCCAGGGGGCTGGGTCCATAGCTCATTGAACATGAGGCCTGGAGTATCTTTTTCTAAAACCGAATGAACAAGTGCAGGGAAGAGAAAGCTCTGTGGGCCCAGCGGCTGGTGGTAAGGAGGCCCTCGGGAGCTCTCCTGGCCTCGCCCACCTGGCCGGAGGGCAGGCCCCGCCCTCGGCATCAGGTTCTCCTGGCTCTCCCTGGCCCCGGGTCCTGTGGAAGATACTAGACTCTATCTTTCTCTCTCCGTTTTTTAGAGAAGACCTCTGGACTCTCTCCACCTTTTGTTTTACAGAAGAGGATGTGGAGAACTTCGACGTGACCAATTTGTCTCAGGACGTGCTGCGCAGCATTGAAGCCGACAGCTTCTGGTGCATGAGCAAGCTGCTGGACGGCATCCAGGTGGGTGGGCCTGCCCTTGGGCGCCCCGTCCCGGGGTCCTGGGGGCCTTTGGGTTTCTTGCTGCTCTTTTACATCAGACAGCCCCCCACCCAGCACAGCGCCTCCTCTTTCGGTCCATCCATCCCTGCCTCTCTCATTAGCTTTACAGCCTTCAAAAGGCAGTACTGGCGTCCCCTGGAGTCTCAGGAAGTCTCTCTGTTGCCCTGGCTTTGTCATCAGAGCACGCCCTTTCCTCCTGGGCCACGGTTCGCCTCCGCAGAGCGGGGCTCTGTTAGGCTTCCACACTGCAGCTCTGTAGATCCCTCTGTTCTCCCAACACCGCACCGGCTCGGAAAACCGCTTGTGCCTTCACTGTGTTTCTGTGAACTCGAGGTGGTAGCACAGCTGTGTGAGTCCCGCTTATGCTGGCTCTGTGTCGTTGGCAGGATAACTACACCTTCGCACAACCAGGGATCCAGAAGAAGGTCAAGGCGCTGGAAGAGCTGGTCAGCCGGATTGATGGTAGGTTCAGAGGAGTCCTCTCGCAGTAGCACAGCACGCGGCTGACACAGCACACAGCATGAGTCCCTCCTCAGCCCCTTCCCAGTGTGACCCTTTCCCGCGTGCTCTGTGCTGCTGGCGCCCCAGCACCTTCCGCATCTCAGCAGCAAGGCGAACCCTGCTGTTTGCTCAAATTATTTTTTCTCCTTCGTTCTCTGTCACCAAGTTCTGTCAGTTCTCCTTCACCCTCTCTCCTCAAGTCACCCTTTCTGCTCCATTGCCCTAGCTCTGGGCCAGCCAGGCCTCCTCCAGACCTCTCCCCTTACACGCCTGTCACACAGCTGCCTTCTGCGTAAGGGTTCTGGTCTCATCCCTCTTCTGCTCTGGAACCGCCGGGGCTCTCCCGCTCTCAGCAGCAGCTCTGTAGGCTGATCTGCCCTCCAAGTGGTGATGGCGGGACTTGAGGCCCTGACACTGGGCCCTCAGGCCTGGCTACCCCCAGCAGGACCTCCCAGAGCTCCTGAGACCTATTCGGGTGGCTCTTCCTGAAGCAGAATGTCCTTGACTCTGGCTTGGAATCATGGAATGTGAGGACTAAAAGGCAATTCGGGGAGAGGTCAGAGTTGGGGTTCAGAAGCACACATAAAGCCTCACAGCGAGACCCTCGGCACCAATCAAGCTGCAGAGCTTCTTATGACGTCACCAGTTACGCGCCAGCTAACAGAGTGCGTTTACTGGTTTTCTGCTTCAGCTAAGCATTGCCCTTCCCCCAATAGAAACTGGGGATCTTTCACTCTTCTTCCCAGGTTCCCAATTTGTTCCACTCCACCTTCTTCTTTAAAAAAGAAAAAAATGCTACTGATTTTTTATTTATTTGTTTATTATTTTTATATATCTCGACTGATCTCAGAGAGGAAGGGATAAAAACATAGAAACATCAGTGATGAGAGAAAATCACTGATCAGCTGCCTGCTGCTTATTCCATATTGGGGTTTGAGCCCAAAACTTGGGCATGTGCCCTTGACCAGAATCGAACCTGGGACCTTTTAGTCCACAGGTCAACGCTCTATCCACTGAGCCAAACTGGCTAGGGTTATTTATTGTTTTTTAAAGAGAGAGTGGAAAAGAGAGAGATAGAAACATTGATGAGAAAGAAACATCATCGATTGGCTGCCTCCTGCACTCCCCCTGCTGGGGATCAAGCCTGAAACCTGGGCATGAATTAAACCAAGTGAGCTCTTGGTGCTCAGTGTTCTCTTGGTGGGTTGATGCTCAGCCACTGAGCAACACTGGCTAGGCCTCAGCTTCCTTTTATGACAACATTTTGATCTTCCCCACTCATGTGTTTATTTATAGTGGTTTCCTCTGTGTCATGTGTGGATGCTTTTCCTCTTACCGCCCAGACCCAGCTGTTAGCCCCTCGGTGGGGCCTGCATGAGGGTCTCTCGCATCCATCACCTGGATTCTGGTGCAGAGCGCATGCGCAGGGGTAGGGCACTGAGCCAGCTGACACGAGAGAGGCCATGGTTTCTGCCACTGTCTGCCCAGCCTGTTTTTTTCTCCTCACACATACATGATAAATAAAGCTACAGTACATTAGGGTAGTGGATGTTTAAGTGCATATATCTTTATTCTTTCAGTTATAGAAGTAATATTACATAAATTTAAAATTCAGAAAAACACAAAATAAAAAGTAAAAACCTTCCCCCTTCCTTGAATTCTACCCACCAAAAATAACCATTGTTAATAGCTATTCCTTCAGAAATTAAGTATCATATGCCAGGTGCTTCTGTTGTCACTTTTATTTTCTCATTTTATCGTCTCCCAAACTTTCTGAGGTGTGGGTGATCATCCCCATTGTATAGGTTAGGAAACTGAGGGGGACGGTGGTATAAAAACGTTCTATGACGTATTATTTGAAGGGCTGTCACAGAAAACAGGGATCAGGGTTGTTTTGGGGGTGTTCCAGAACACCACACGGACACCCAAGGTGAGAGCTGGGCCGCTGGCTTCTGTGGAGTGTGTGGGAGCACTTCCCGGTGAGTCACTAACTCCAGGGAGGGCTGCCTGTCTGACTGGCAGGGCCAGTGCCTGCTGCCTGCCGCCTGTCAGGGAGGCTGAGGAGGAATCCTCGCTGGCAGGAGGGGGCCCCGTTCCTTTCCATCCTGCCTCCTCCTCTGCTGAGTGATAAGGTCAAGCAGCCAAGTGAAGCGTGCGTGTCCTGGGAGGGAGAAGGGCGCCTCGGCTGTCACTGTGGGCTGTGACAGTGGTGCTCAGCTACCTGTCAGAGCTGCTGTGTGTGAGACGTGGAACCAAACATAAAGGATAGTTGGATGCCAGCGTGACGCTCGGCCTGGCTTCCCAGGGAGGGGTGAAAAGAAATGGAAATTGCCTTCTTGGCTTTGGACTTTCCCAGGATCTGACCCCAGGTTGTGCCCCGGGCCAATGACACTTCCTGTTTCAGAGCAGGTACACAATCACTTCAGGCGGTACGAGGTGGAATACCTCCAGTTTGCCTTCCGTTGGATGAACAACCTGCTTATGCGGGAGCTTCCCCTTCGCTGCACCATCCGCCTGTGGGACACATACCAGGTACGAAGAGATCCCCTCCCGCTCGCTCCGCACCGTGCCAGGCTGTCCCAGCCCGGGGCCTGGGTAGAGGGAGATGCTCGGGAGTCCCCACCCCCTCTCTGCTTCCGGGTCTGCCTGAGCCTCACAGGCAGGGCCTCTGTCAGTCTTTTCAGGCCCCCGTTTGCCCAGCCACGAAAGGGGTGCTTTTGCTGTGTCCCCACCTTGCAGGCGGACTGGACCCCAGAGGACTAGCACCAGCTCCTGTCAGGGCTTGGAGACCTAACTCTGTTCTTTGCCTCCCCAGTCTGAACCAGAGGGCTTCTCCCACTTCCATCTCTACGTGTGTGCAGCTTTCTTGATCAAGTGGAGGAAAGAGATCTTGGATGAGGAGGACTTCCAGGTGAGTGGACAGGCGCTCGGCCTGGGCCTCAGGTGGGAGCTTCCCGGCAGTGGGGCTGGATAGGCAGAAGGTGCCCCAGCAGGTGCCTGGCTGGGAAGGGGCACGGGGGAAGGTGCTCAGAAGAGGTGGCCTCTCCCAGTTGGTAGCAGTCATAGGGACCCAGCACCCTTCAGCATGAAAGGGTCTTGGTGCCAGAAAGGCTTCTGCACACCTGCTGGGCAGGCCTAGGAGACCTCATTCAGCTCCGCCAGGCTTTGTTCACTGCCTGCCATGTGCTAGGCACTGCTGAAGGCATAGGATACATTAGAAAGTAAAACAGACAGACACCTCTGTTCTGGTGGAGCTTGCATACTAGCTGGGAGAGACTTAAAATAAACACAAGCAGAGTAAGTTAAAAAGAACGTTAGGGGGTGAAAAGATAAATGTTTCTAATGTAGGGCAGGATAAAGGCGTTATTAGATAGTGGGGAAGGGATAGGTTGCAATTTCAAGTTAAGCTGTCGGGATAGGGTCACATTTGAGCAAAGGCTTGGGAAGGGGAGGGAGCCAGCCATATGATCATCTGGGAAGGAGTCTCCAGGCAGAGGGAACAGCCAGTGCAAAGGCCTTCAGCAGTGCATGCCTGCAATTGCAGGAATTGGGGGAGTGGCGGCCTGGGGGAGGGGGAGCCTGGAGCACAGTGACCCAGGGGAAGAGTCGGCAGAGGTGAGGCCAGGGAACTTACAAGGGCCCGCTCACAGCGGACTCTGTAGACTATAGGACTATGGCCTTTCTCTGAGTGGAAGGGGAGCAGTAAGAAGGTCTTGAGCAGACAAGGGACACGATCACTCAAGGGGTGCTCTGGCTTCTCTGTGACTGTGGGCATGGGCAAGGATGGGGGCAGACACCCAGGAGGCCATGCCGGTCCTCCAGGTGAGACATGGGGTGGTGTGTACCTGGATGGTGGCAGTGAAGGTGTGACAAGTGGCTAGAACTTGGACATATTTCTTTTCTTTTTTTTAATATATTGTTTTTTGGGGTTTTTTTTGTTTTTTTTTTCCTTAAATAAATTTTTATTGTTCATATTATTACAAATGTTCCTTCCCCCCCACTTCCCACCCCACCCTCTGCCCTTTCCCCATCCCCCATTGTCCTCATCCATAGGTGCACAGTTTATGTTCAGTCTCTTCCCACACTCCCCTCTCCCCTTTTCCCCAAGAATCATCAGTTCACTCCCCTTCCATACCTCTGATTCTGTTATATTCAACAGTTAATATTGTTTCTCAGATTTTTTTTTTAATTTCCTGGGTTTTTAGATTCACTTGTTGATAGTTACGTATTTGTTGTTCATAATTTTTATCTTTATTTACTTTCTCTTCTGAAAGAACCCCCTTCAGCAATTCATATAATTCTGGTTTGGTGGTGATGAACTCCTTTAGCTTTTTTTTATTTGTGAAGCTCTTAATCTGACCTTCGAATCTGAGTGATAGCTTTGCTGGATAGATTATCTTTGGCTGTAGGTTCTTACTATTCATCACCTTGAATATTTCTTGCCATTCCCGTCTGGCCTGCATGGTTTCTGTTGAGAAATCAGCTGACAATCGTATAGGTGCTCCTTTATAGGTGACTACCTGCTTAGCTCTTGCTGCTTTTAATATTCTCTCTTTGTCTTTTGCTCTTGGAATCTTAATTATGATTTGTCTTGGTGTGGTCCTCTTTGGATTCCTTTTATTTGGAGTTCTGTGTGCTTCCTGGACTTGTAAGTCCAATTCTTTCCCCAGGTGGGGGAAGTTTTCTGTCACTATTTCTTTCAGTATGTTTTCGATATCTTGCTCTCTCTCATCTTCTGGGACCCCCATAATTCTGATGTTGGATCGTTTGAAGTTGTCCCAGAGGTTTCTTACATTATCTTCAATTTTCTGGATTCTCTTGCCTTCTAGCTTTTGCAGAGGAGTGTCTTCTGGCTCTTTATGTTCCAAATCTTTGACTTGATTCTTGCGATCTTCTATTCTGTTTTTAGGACTCTGTATAATATTTTTTATTTCAGGCAATGTATTCTTTATTTCTTGTTGATCCCTTTTCATATCCTCATAAGTCTCATTTATTTTATCGGCCTTTTCTAGGAAACTCTTGAAAAACCTTATAAGTGTGGTTTTGAACTCTATATCCAGTCGCTTTTTGTCCTCCATTTCTTTTGTGATCTATTTGGTTTAGGCATTTTCGCAGGCAGCTTTCCTGATGGGGCGGGGTTTCAGGGTGGAGCCTACAGCTTTGGCTTCCGTCAGGCCCGCCCTATGCAACTCCTGAGTCTCAGGGTCCTTCAGTACTTGCTGCAAGCGCCTCTGAGAGAAAGGCGCCCTCGATTTTCACCTGCTGCCAAACAGTCTAGTCTCTCCCCAAATGGGCCCGAAACTGGGGTTCAGTTCAGTTGGAAGTGGAGTTGGAGGTGGCGTTCAGAGCAGACTGGAGCCCCTGTCTCCTTCCGGCCAGGGCAATCCCGTTGCACAGCCAACCGTCCCTTCTCTGCGTGGCGCCGCTGGGACCTCCCTTCGCCTCTTCCCCAGGGTTCCGCCTTACAGCCCGGCTCCCTCTGTGTGAGCCTGGGTCCCCGGGGTCTGGCCTAGAACTGGGGTTCAGAGCAGTCGGGGGGCCCAGCACAGTCGGAGCTTTTATCTTCTTCCCGCTAGGGAACGCCAGCCAGGCACTCCGCCTCCCTCCTCTCCGGCTCCGTCCTCTCCGCGCGCCTTGTGTCTCCGTACCTTAGGCTTTTACAGCTCCTCCGTTCTTCCTTCTTGTTTCCTCCTTGCTTCTTGTTGTAGAATTTCCAGTCAGTTGACTTTCCTGTAGTTCTGGGTAATGTCCATTTTATATTTTAGTTGTATTTTATTGAAATTGTTGCATGCGGCTGCGGTTAGGTGCCTACCCGAGCAGCCATCTTGGGAGTGATCTTTTTAATATATTGTTTTTTTACAGAGAGGAAGAGGAGGGATAGAGAGTAAAATCGATGAGAGAGAAACATCGATCAGCTGCCTCTTGCACACCCCCCACTAGGATATGCCCGCAACCAAGGTACATGCCTTGACCGGAATCGAACCTGGGACCTTTCAGTCCACAGGCCAATGCTCTATCCACTGAGCCAAACCGGTTTTGTCTTGGACATATTTCACATGTAGAGCTAGCAGGGATCCCTGATGAATCGGGCGTACAGTGTAGCAGAAAGGATGAGCAGTTTGACTGCACACTTTATGAGAGTGTGGCAGGGAGCAGGTTTTTGGAGGAAGATCTGGAGTCCAGTTTTGGACATGTTGAATTTTAACTACTGTTAAACTTCCAGATGGAGTTGTAGGATACACAGATCAATCCATGAGTCTGTCCTAGACATGTGTGTTTAGCAGCCTTCGGCTAGAAGGCCTGGAAGCCAGGATGGTGGGTGGGAGCCTAAGGAAGGAGTGTGGACAGAGGAGGACGAGGACCCGGTCTTCCGCACACTCTCCTCACCAGGAGGCCGGGGGAGGGGCGGGGGCGGGGAGCAAAGGCGGGAGAGCGGGTGGCCAGGGAGGGCCGCGGCCTGGAAGCCTCGGGAGAGGGCAGATGTGAGGTGGTGGGATGCTGGCAGCTGCTCCAGAGGCTTGGGACTGACGAGAGATTGCCAGGCTCTGAGGTCGGCAGAGAGGAAGGCCTGGAGGTTTTCATGGTCGCTACCTCTTGGGACAGTAGTGGGCTTTTGTTTTTCTGCTCTGAACATCTCTGAACAGAAGGTTATTTTTTCCAAATGGGCTTCTAGTTCTTCCAAAAGCAGGGGAAGAAAGCTGGAGAGGGCTGAGTGCTTTTCTAAGGTCTAATTGCTAACCGAGGTGTTGAGTTCTCAAGAGCAGAGCGCCGCCGTGCGCCCCGTGCAGCCGCTCTAATTGGTACCAGGCGGCCGAAGCGCGGGAACCTGCCCCCAGGTAGATGGAAAGACAGGACCCGACTTGCCCAAAAGGACTTCAGAAAAAAGAGGAAAGAGCAGCTTCTGTGAGTAGATGCCAGCTGTGGTGCTAAGGCTGCAGGCAGCCAATAAAGAGCCACAGCTCTCGCCAGCAGGCAGCGTATGTGGCGCCCGGGACAAATGAGCACCAGGGGCTGCAGGGCCGTGCGCTGGGTGAGCTCTCCATTCTGATAATGTGGTTGAAGTGGAGCCGGATATCGGGAGCGCGGGATCTAATTTAGTTATCCCAGAGCCAGGCTCAGAGGGCCTTGTCACATGTGATAAAAGCACTTCCTAGATTAGCCCGGGGGGCGGCGGGGATTCCTGGAACGGCTGATAGTGATTCACAGTATCGACAGAGCACAGGGTAATAGTCTATGACTTTGAAACTGTGTTAGACACAGAGATGTTCTTCCCTGGGTAGCCTATTCGATTATCTGATGGATTTGAGGTCTTTCTGCACCAACCCTCAGAATAACAATGGAGCTTTTGTCTGCTGCCGTGTTCACATGCCGTTCTACTCGGAGAGGAGTCCCACCTCTTTCTTTTAGACCGAACAGAACAGGCGATGGAACTGGATAGTCCACACAGTTTCTCCCAGCCCCGCAATTCTATCATTCTGTGAATAATAAAAGAAAAAAGTGGGTCTGGCTGTGTTAGGATAGACAGGAGGTGTCCCTCAGGAGACAAGTATGGCGCAGAGCACAGAGCACTGTGTCAGTGAGACCTGGCCCGTGGCCTCTGCAGAGAATAGGGCGGCCTGTAGTTAAGTCACTGCGGGGGATGGCTGCCGATGAACACAGGCATCCCAGAGAGCCAGTGGGCCCAGCCTGGGAGGGAAGTTTTAGGGCTCCAGCTGCAGTGACTCAGAAGGAAACCAGACGAAGTCACTGCAGAGGTAAAAGTTCAAGTTGTGGCGGTTTCAGCAGACCAGCCCTTTGTCACCCTCAGAGCAGGGAGGGAGCCGGCGGGAGGAGGCCAGCGCAGGGCGTCTAGAACAGCACTGAGCCACGGTCTGTGGAGCTGGTCTACTTAGGTCACATCCTAGCTCGGCC